TCTCTCTCTCTCTCTCTCTCTCTCTCTCTCTCTCTCTCTCTCTCTCTCTCTCTCTCTCACACACACACACACACACACACACACACACACAACAGGAACGGTTCAAAAAAGAAACAAAACAACAAAAAAATGGTGTCCCCCTCTGGTGAGTTCTCCCTAACCCTCCCCCCTGCCCCCTTCCCCATCCCCATCTCTACCTCTCTCTCTGAAATCAGACTCACTTTTTTCTTCACTTCACATACATGCAAACAGGTGGCAATCCACACTGGCGCTGTGCGCCCACACAAAGCTCAGAGATATCGAGAACACAGTTTAGTTACAAACTAACTTCCAACTGGCTATGGCGCCGGTGCCGGGCGGCCGCAACCCAGTCGGCCACCCGAAATACACGGGATTGGGCCTTGGGACAAGTGCCTACGAAAGAATCAACCGGCACTTTCACCACAACTGTCAGGGAAAATTAAGGGTCGACAGAGGGACCCTGAAATTTCCCCCATCAACCATGAGAACTAACCCTTGAAATTAACTCAATGACCAGTCACGACCGCCGTGCCTACCGCGCCTAACTCCCACCATTTCCGTTTGTTCCGGGGCTGCTCCCAAAGCGGCCGGCCGTGGAGCGGAGATATGGAAGTAGGCCTCAGCACGCCCCTTTCACGCTAAACAACTGACGAGGGAATGACCCCTTCATTTTTATTAATTCTAACAACAAAATTAGAAACTGAGAAAAAGAATAAAAAAAAGGGAGGAAAACGAATGATTACTTACTTTTTGATTAATTTTTGGCGGAATTTATTCGTGATGGAGTTTCGCTGGAAATCAACTATTCACCTACCGTCTGATGATCCGTACGAGTCCCCTTGATTTTTCCGATCCACCCGTTTCGTAGCCCGATTTTTGTTGAGTGAGTGGGACCGATTTCGGGCCGCGGCGGTGTGATCGGCATGGGCGGCAACAGGTTAAGTGGTCTCGTGGCTTTGGTGTGGGAACAGGTCTGGAACGGGCACGGACATTGGCTTGGGACAGGTAGGGTACAGTCTTCTACAGGCATGGTGTGTTTGCGGCACAACATGGAATTCTGTTCTCTGATCACGGTAACATGGTTGGCACGGTATTTGTGGTATGGTACGGTTGCTGGCCTGAAGCGGGCATGACACATTGGTCCGGAACAGGTATGGGACTGGCATGGTATTTGCGGCGTTACACGGTATTCGGGGTTGAAACGGTACAGGCCGCTGCAGAACAGCCGCAAAACAAGTTACTACGGATTGTTGCGGCTGCTGGATCAGAACTGGAACGGTTCCCTGCGGCTTGATACTGTTATTCCTTGGTACGGTGTGGGGCATGAGGTTGATCCGCTTGATAATGGCTGAGGGCCCTCGGTACCTACGGAACTCCTGTTGCGGGTGGAAGGTGTTCGGGGCCTGAGGCTGAAATTTCATAGGTACCGTGGGTACAGGCGGGCCTGTCCTCGACTAGGGGCAGGCACTGGCCGGCAAGGGGCTGATGCTTCCCCTGGGACCAATGCCATAGCTCTTGGGGCCAGGGTTGCATCCCCGCCGACCGCCAACCCCGACAGCCGACCGTATCGCAGCCGACCAGTCGGGCCGACCGGTCGGCGGTCCGCCGACCAGTCAGATAACAGCCTTCGACTGATTTTTTTCAAATCTGAGTTCGGGGCTGTACTACGCTTGCTGAGTACAGCCCAAATCCGCTGAGAAACTTGGGTTGTGAACATTTTGTTCGGGCTCGGGTTGGCAGGGGGGGGGGTCGGGGGTCTGCTAAGGGTGTGTGGGCCCTGTGGGGTGGGTTGCCTGAGGGGCTGTTTGAGGGTTCTGAGGGGCTTGCTGGTATGGACCATTTTGCATCATTTTGCTGCGTTTTGCAGCGGTGTTTGGGGGCAGTTGGGTCAAGGCCCCAGGGGCGTTTGGGGGTTTGGGGGGGGGAAACACAGGAAGTTGAGCAAGAAGATGAACCAAGTCCGCAGAGGTGCACAATTCAATTGCAGAAAAGCATTACTTCAACAGGAAGATGAAGAAGAAGACGAACCAAGTCCCCTACGTTCGAAAAACCGAGGCAAGATTCGAGCCCACCGGGCCCACCCGAGAAATGAAAAAAAAAAAGGAAGAAGAAGAAGAATATGAAGATGACGAAGAGGAGAAGAAGAAGACGAAGAAGAAAAAGAGGAACAAGAACAAGAGGAAGAAGAAGTGGAAGAACTAACGAAGAAGTAGTGGAATAAGTCTCTCTCTCTCTCTCTCTCTCTCTCTCTCTCTCTCTCTCTCTCTCTCTCTCTCTCTCTCTC